TCAGCAATTCACGTTGCAAGGGAAAAAAAAAAGTGGTAAAGAGAAGAAATATATTCGTTGACTATTCCATAAAAAAATTACATTTGGCAAGCTAAGGAAAAAAAAGTCGAACCATCTTTTTTATTACCCTTATAAATCACACCATAAACATTTATTACAAATGAACACACCGAAAATATTATAACAAGTGAAAGATAAAATGTTAATAAAAAACGAGAAACTAAATCAGGGTAAGCAACGTAGACTAAATAAGAACAAATAATTTCATAATTGTTTTTAGATTTTTCTCGGCGTTTTTCCATGAGGGGACCTCATGACCCGAAGCTTCTTCTCCCTAGACAATATTCCTGCCAATCTACACAGGAAAAGAAAAGAGAATAAATAAAGAGAAAAATCATGTAAATTTTAAAAATAATACCATAGTTTCAAATATATATATAGACAACTTACTTGATGAGAGCCTTTTCGTTGGTCATTTCATAAGCATTCTCGTTAGAACCCGTTTCAAGATTAACTTTCGAGATAGGTTTCTTGAGAAGTTGTTCTCCTGTCTTCACGAGAGTGTCTAGATTCTCCTTTGTCGCGATATCGACAGAAGATGCATCCCCCGTTAACGTATCATCCTAAAGATATATATATATAAATTGTATGAGAAATCAAGTGTTTCACTATTTGGGTGATTATAGAAATAGAAGGAAAAATCATGTGAGGTATACTTGGATTCGAAGGTAGTTAGGGTCCGAATGCAGAGCTTGGAAGACGGTCGAGAGGTGGAAATCAACCATGTCGGAGCTAGCTTGCATGAAGGTGTCGATAAGGGGCGTTGAATTGTCGTGTGTCAACCAACTCAGCATTCCCCAACGGGCGCATTCTTGCGCGTTGAATTTCTCCTCGCCCTTAGCCGTACCTGTCCCGAGGGATAGCACGAGAAACCTTCCGTAGTCGTTCGGTTTTATGGGGAAGAAATCGGCGCTCCCTCTTGTTATCTCTTTAGTCACCTCGCCAATGGCCACCAGCGCCTGAAAATATCAATACGATACATAACCGATTTGAAGGTATTTTGAGTGGACTGCGACCCTAGAGGAAAACGGTTGTGTAACTTCGTTGGATTACTTAGTATGGATGATTACCGGGTTGTTAGCCGCAACACCTCCATCGATGAGGTGGAATTCTCTGCTTTTCCCCGCCTTTTCGTCCTTGGTTTGGAAGTAATGGGCAGGAAGATACGTTGGAGCCGCTGAAGTCGAGATGCTAATATCGGCAAGCGTTGCGTTCTTGAGAGGGTTGTTCTTCACCTAGATAACGTTTTACAAATGTTAAAACCAACACTTCTCATAAAATATAATGCTTTGTTAACATGCTAGCGGATAGAGAGACTGGACAAACCTCATAACTGCTAAAAATAGTAGGCTGAAGACATTTGATATCGAATGTCGGAATGACAACATTTGTAAGTGTTTGGTTCAACCTTGTGTCACCCAACTTCTCCATAACAAGTTTATGAAGGTACTTCCCATCATATTTTGGTCCGGTCAAGGTCTTAACCAAGTTTTTTGCAGCCGAAAACGGAAAATGTTCTTGTGGGAAGATTTTGGGACAATGCTCGAGGTAAAAGTCCTTGATCTCACTGGCCGCGAACAAGGGTCGGCCTTGTTTGTTTGGGGCAGTGAGCATGGCGGTCACCAGACCGCCTGTGCTCGTGCCAGCTATCACGTCGAAGTAGTCCGCAAGCCGCGCTTCTTCTCCGTCCAATTTCTGCGCATTACACACGTGTGTAAATCCGGTAAGAGATATCGAAATAACAAGTTTGAACCGATCGCTGACTCTTTCATTACAACGACCGTCATCATTTGGTTCGTGATACATCTTTTACGGAAACAAAAGACATACCTGAAGCTCGGACTCCAGGAAGGAAAGAATAGTGGCCGGGATTATCCCTCTAATCCCGCCGCCGTCGATGCTAAGTACGGTGATTAAGCTCCCATAAGTCGGGGGTTGAAGAGGCGATTTCGGGCTCTCCATGTCTGTTTTTTTTTTCTCCAAATAAATCCCACGACAAGGCTTTAAAGAAGATAATTAAGATACAATTCTTGAAAAATGAAAAAGAGAAGAGAAGATTCTAAGTAATGATATCGCTGCGCTCAAAGTGATATTGGCTATGAATGTGTTTGCTGTGAGAACCTAAGGCGACTTCAAGGGGATGTATTTATAGACAGAGATTGGTGGCTGCCAGAAAATTCAACACTGTCTTTGATTCGTAGGCTTTGTGTTTGGTAATTGAGCATGCAGCTTCGTCGGTCTTGTTGAATCCCAATCTTATTGGTTTGCCTTTTCGTCATTTTTAAAATTTTGTATGCAATTTTCGTAATTAATTTTTCTTCTTAAGTATTTGACCAGACTACTTCAACCCTTTTGATAACTAATCATCACAATCGTTCATTTTTAATTTTCTAAATTATATGTACTTGCTGTACATAATATGAAGAATTTGCATGATATTAAAATTTAAATGTTGTCCTAATTATTCTTTTTAGAAGTATATTGAAATTATTCTTTTTAGGAGTACCGAAAATTCGGAGATTACATACCCTCCAAACAGTTTACAAAAATTTACGGATTCCCATGATTAAATTGAACAATAGGATAACAACTTTGAAGAATCAAGATTCAGCTCAGCTTCAATGTAGTTATATACGATATCATATCCCATATCATATATAACTATTATTTGCAACTGCTAATAGTAAAGTCGATATAGAATTAGTAAGATAATCACATTAGTTAGATGCCCATGCAAGGTTTTGAATAGTTCAACGCGGCGACAACAAGAAAAGACAACGTATTGCTTTAACCACATATATATATATATATATATATATATTCCAAAATTCTAAATATCTTATTGTATATATCTATTATTTGGTAAACAGTCGTGTGTCATTGAAGCCGCCACTTGCTACTTATCTCATAAAATTTACTTGTAGCTCACGAACGATTACAATATTATATAAATATATATGACCCCAACAATTTGGGATTATATATTAATAAATTAAAGAAATTGAAGGAGATAACTTGTTCTAAAGCATATATCATTACGAACCCAGTTTGTATAAGCAACCTATCTCTTTTTATTTTTATTTTTATTTTAAGCTGGCGGCTTGAATTTTTCCAAGTATAATTGACCGTATAAAAAATTACAATTCTGTTTTTTTTTTAAGAAAACAAAGATATGCTTTTTTACATGTCAAGACGATATTGAATTATGCATGTTACCTACTTTTTTCAACTCATAATGAATATATATATATTTGAATATTTCTTGGGTATTGCTTCATCTACGTGGAAGAGCCGGCGGAGGAACATACACGTATATATGCACGTGAGAGCTTTTTATTTTATCTTGGTATTAATATATTTTAAACTTGTTAGGCGGCACAGACATGATATTGGTTTATTAAGTTTCCACCACTATTGATTGAGAAAAAAGAAATTCAAAGAAATATGAAATGCATTGCACAAAAGGGAAAAGAAATGATTACATGTGATTAATTAGCTGATTTACTAACCATGTTTATGCATTAATTGTATTGTTAGTTAAATATTTTTCTCAAATTTTAGATAGTTAGGTATTCAATTATTTACATTTTTTCGAACTGATGTTATGGAAAAACGTATTTGTATAGTTTTTCTATTGGTAAAAAAAAAACAAGTTTACCGGTGAAAACATTTAAAATCAACCCAGTTACTAATTACATACTAAACGTCATATACAACAACAATGTCTTAACTTCAAATTTATTTGGGGTCTATCATATAAAATCTTTTTGTCCATTTAATTTCAGTTTTGTATCAATTCTTAGGAGATTTGTAAACAATTCAAAACATGATCAATCCATTTTACCCCTTTTATCTAAGTGTACTTCAATCAATACATGCAATCCCAAGTGAATCTATAAGTGTACTTTTAAAAAAAAAAATCATTTTACCCCTTTTATATTTCTATATTCTCTAATTTTCTAGCGGTAGCTTTTACATGATCAATCGATTTAAACACCTCTCTTTTAATTTTTCTTCAATATATATTATCCTATTTTTGTTGGGTATTGATCGAATCATAGAACGCATCAAAACAATTTTTGTTTTACTGTTCTTACTCATTTATATTACAATTCATATGTGTGTGACCCAATAAATCTATTCGATATGGCAGTAAAACGGAATTTTAATTTTGTTCTTCTTTTTAAGGCCGTCCTGTAACAAGACCTATCGATTAATCACAGTAAATCGATTTACTGATCCAAAATCTGTCTATAAAAAATTTCTGACATTATCCTTTTATGTCGCGATATTCATGATTGATCAACGGTATGGAACAATTCTCCTTTCAAAATTCAATGGCTTTTCAATCTGTAAGTGATTATATGATAAAGGACGTCAATCTTTATCTCTCGCATAATGCGAGGGACAAATTACGTTTTCATCATCTACTATCGTCACATGATTCATAACATATCCAACAACAACTTTTATACGAGTTTATTGACTGTGTCAAATTGGTTTATTTTTTAAAACAGAAAAAAAAAATTATATATTTTTTGATAAAATTAAACAAACTTACGTATTTATTTGGAATTTTAACTATATATAAAGAAATTTATTTTTGGGTTGAAATTGTGGATTTATAGAAAACCTGATTTTGTTACATTATACTTCAGTTAATCAGTTGACGTACGGATCATTCTGTACTTAACACTGTCATTTGTCATTACAAAGATTTCGCTCAAGAACAGTGCGACGGCGGTCGCAACATAAAAGAGGCACGTTTCCAAGGGAAAAGAAAAAAGGCATTGGACTTCCTTGGCAAAAACACTCAGTGGTGAATGATCAAAGAGAAGGGTTCGAATGCTACAGTCTCGACCTACGTATACATCTCATCGGATATAACTTCGCCGGTCTCCGCTTCAGATGGTCGGAATCCGGCATCGTCACATCCCAGTCCTCCATGTCTTTTGGAATGTAAATATCGAATAGGATCTGACCAAGAACTCCGTTGAAATTGAGGATGTCGTTTTGTGAGCTCGGCAAACGAATCATGCCTTCCTTGTGTTCCTCCCGCACAGACCCGCCATCGCCTCTTCCAACGTAGTAGCTCACCGAGCTGGGCACGAAGAAATGATCGGTTGTGATCAGAGGAATTCCGTCAAAGCTCGGGTGGAGACAAGAGGTTGCTTTCCTTAGGCTGTGAATCGGTTTTGAGAGTGAAATCTCATCTTGGTAATGCGTCTCTTCTGTGCCCATTGCTGTTTCCTTTGGAAGATTGCGTGTCCGCTGTGAATATAATGATGCTGCTTTCGATAGGAGCTCGGAAACAGCAACCTTATAGTCTACCTGATGATGCCTATAATGACCTGCAGAGACATTATATACAAAAAAATAAATGTAGAAGAAAAATTATCTTTCAGGTTACATGAATGAACTTTTTAGAGACAATGATTGTATTCGAGCTGAAATAACTGGCTTTGAATTCTAACCTACATGAGGGGAGTCATTCCACTTAACGAGTTTTACATCTCCACCAAGCTCTTTGAGACGTGTGACAAAATTGTGTATAGTACGGTAAGGAGCAAGGTCGTCGTTTTCAGAGCATAGAATGAGATATGGAACTCCCATGGTCTGCATAAGAACGACAAAGAATTGCACGGTGAGGAGAGAGACATAATACGGAAAGAGAACTCCTACATATTGGATGATATATATATATATGTAATACTTACGATAGTAGAGTAAAGAGTTTGCCAGTACTCAGCTCGGTGAGATTCAAACCGGTTGAGGAAAACGAAATCAAGACTCGAAGCAATACCATTTGCTGCCCATACAATTGGTTTTGGTGGATGTGACACTTTAAGAGTAGTAGGATGAACTGCAAGCCGAGCTCCCAAGTCGCTAGTGAAATCCACAGGGCTTGAGTCAAAGATAAATCCCGAGATGCAGTCCCTAACCAACCGACAATCATCCTACAACATGCGAGAAGAGAAAATTCAGTATGCTTACTCATCATGGACCCAACACAAGTACAAGAAAAGCTCAATAAAAGTCCCCCCTCCAATGAAAAATATAAGGGTAAGCATGAAACAACTACTAAAATTGCGGGAGCAACTGAGCGATAGAACTTCCTTCAACCAGAAAAAAGGGAAATCCATACCGGGTTTAGTCCAGTTTCGCATGTTCTGTCAAGTATCTGCAGAAGAAACACGCTTTTCCTTAAACCAACTGCTTCCGAGACAAAAGTTCAGCAAAAGAAGGAACCGATGCAGAGCAACTTACTTGAATAACCTTATACATACACGCATTTGGACCGCCCGAGAAGGATGCAAACACAACAGGAACTGGCCTTGCTTTTAGCTCCTACATTAACACAACATAATATAATTTAAGAAAACATCATTAACTAAGACGAAACCAGAGCCTATGAGATCATTAGGTACACAACCAAGTTCACTGCATCACATCCACATTGCAAAAAATGCAATTTGGAATTTACATGGAGAGATTTGCAAAGAAAAAATGAAAAGTAAACTCACCTTCGCAAGTTCAGACACGATTTCAGAAGCTACAACTGCTGCTTTGCCCGGAAAAAAACTGAGAATTTATACATCAAACAAGAGGATCTGGTTAACAAAAAAGAAAGGAACTTTTCCCAGAAGCAGATCGAAATTCCAAAATGTAAAACAAATTCTTCTAATTCACATAACACAGATGCTTCTTCAGTAAGGAATGCAATTCAATCATCAAGAGATACCACGAATTTGCCCATAAAATCGGAGATTCTGAATAGCGTTGAACTCAACTAAATTGCACATCAACTTCAGAATTATAGCAAAACAGACCAAATTCACCAACAAAACGAAGACATCGTATCGAGGAATCGATAACGGAGAGAGAGAGGAGAAGACCAAACATGTTGAGAGAATGGGAATGGCAAACGAGCGAGTCCCATCCAATCGAAGAGTAGAGATCGACGTAGTTCTTCAGATTGCGTTCTTCGCTCCACAGCCACGCGAACACCACCACGATCCCTTCGCTTCCTTGGACATTTCTCATTCTCCAGTAGTGCTTTCCTCCGAATCCCCACATCTTCCTCACTCAATCCCGCCAAACTTTCTAGGGTTTTCTTCTCGCGAGCGGAGATTTCGATTGAGGACTAAAGAGATGAATATGACAGCACAAGCATCATCGCGAACGTGACGAACAATCACTGTAACTCCGAAACTGTAAGGTCATGGTTATGGCGTTGGTGAAATCGGACACGATTTTTTTTTTCTTTCTATAATTGGACACGACTTTTTTAAAGTTTGGTTGAATTACACCAAACACAAGCTGAGCGATCCGCTTTACTCGGTAATCGTTTTAATTCGACTTAAAAAAAAATAGCCAAAACAAAACTTTTTCGACAAAAAAAAAACTCTTATTTTTTTATTATAAAAAAACCCTATAGTTATATATATACTTTTCAGATTAACAAAAAAAATTATATATTTTTTATTATCAAACAATCTTTAAACTTATATTTATTTACCAAAATATATTTGTACTTTATAAATTTTAGCAAATAAATCTCTAAACGCAAATACAAAAAAAACGATAAAAATCTATCCGAACCGAATCAAACCGAACCGATTAAAATAATATACAATATTAGATATGAATATTTTAAATCTGAAATAACTAAATCCGATTAAAATAATATATCATATTAGATATATATATTTCTGTGAATAAATATAAATATAGATTTTTTATAATAAAAAAGTATGGAAGTTTTTTGTGAAACATCTGAAGAGTACAAGGTTTTTTTGGCGATTTTATCTTAAAAATAATTATAAATAAATTATTATTTGATTTTAATCCGTTCGATTTGATTCGACTCAATTATAATAGTAAATAAAACAAATTTTGAGAGATTGCCGAAGAAAATGTTATACACTTATACAATTTAGTTATAAAATTTTTATTATTCTAATTTCTATATATATTTATCAATTAGTGATATATGAGTGGACGAATGATTATGTTCGTTTAATTCTAATACGATTATTCTGAGTTTGTTATATGGGTTATAATTAATCCAGATTGAATTATTTTAGATTTCAACATTTTATAACGAAATTATTATTTAATTTAATAATATTTTGATAGATGTGTATAATAAGAAAAAACATTTATATATTTATTAAATAGTTTTGAAATTTTATATATTATAATAGCAATCCAAAAAACTTTATTATAATTTAGAATTATATAGAAAAATCCGTACACCTAACTAGTGGTATAAAAATAAATTTAATTCGTGAACTTTCTCGTTATCAACTCGTTTTTTAGTTAGTCGAACTAGTAATAAAACTCGTTTGAAAAGTACTAGGGTAAATAGACCAATTTAATTCAGATAGCCTTAACACGCAAGTTAAACGAACCGAATCCGTGAATCAAATATATAATTTTAAAAATATTTAAAATATAATAAAAAAAATTAAAATTTTAAACAAAACAAACTAAATATCTAATAAAAATACGGTTTTATATAAATATTTTTTAAAATAAAATAAATATTGTTTTTCTGACCCGTGAATCAGTCTGTGAACTCATGGAACCAGTTTATCATGAACCTGACTCATGGAGTGATGACTCATTTGACCCATTTTTTTCTCAAATATTCTAAATACGATTGGAAAAATTATATACCAATTCGTAAACCATGAAACCGTTTTACACTACTGAAAACAAGTTTAATCAGCCATCGCGCCACGTTTGCGAGTTTGGCAAACTAATTCAATGAATCATTAATTGGTTCGCGTCTTTTTTTAATTATATATTTTTTTATATTTTTATGAAAATTTACTAATTAATTTATTTTTTATTAATTATAAATGTATAATTTATTTTCTATATTTAAATTTAATATTTGTATATTTAAATTTTATATTAAAATATCATTTCATTATATTTTTAATAATATAAGTAAAAAAATTATATTTGTTTTGTTTCGCAAATCAATTTTTTTTATTCGTAAAATTGATAAATCAAGATGAATCAAGATTTTTTTTTTTAATTCATTTCAAAATGAGGAGTTCAAAACGAACCGATTCATTACGAATCTAGTCGAATTGGTTCGTTAATATTATTAAACTTGAGATATCGGACTAACTTTGCATTCATTTTGGTTTTAAAATTTGAGTTTATTTGTAAATTACATCTAGGTTTCAAATGTTTCAAAATTTTAATATTCGATAATAGAGAATATTCGATGTAATATAAAAATATTTTAATATGTTTAAAACTTATAAGTAAATTTAATAAAAAATATAAAATAACGTTCTTATAAAAATTGAATTCAAATATTTATGACATGTAACTCAAATATTTTTCTCAATATCCATATTCAAAATAAAAAATCTAAAATAATATTTTATATCTTAATATCCAAAACATTTTAGATATTTTAGAACTTTTTTTTTATCCCCCGTCAAATAAGGATTTCTAAGCAACATTTTGCAAATATACTATTTAGTACTCGTTTTACTTTTACACTACAATAAAGGGTATGATTAAACTTATAGAACTATAGGGGTTGGATTGTAAAGATATAAAACATAAGGTGGCCAAAGGAGAAATACGTGAAGTTCCCATTGTAGTATCTTTAAGACCTGCAGCGAACGAGTTTTCCCGTTGGGTAAGAAAGAAATTGAGAGGAAGCTATAAGCATATTTCGGCGACAGAGAAATCGTGAGATAAGAGTGGAGAACCAGTTCATGTCAATGGAGAGATTGCAGAGAATGTTTGCCGGAGCCGGTGGCGCGTTGGGCCACCCGCCGCCGGATTCACCAACCCTCGACACCTCGGAGCAAGTCTACATTTCCTCTCTCGCTCTTCTGAAGATGCTCAAACACGGTAATCATTTCTCAGTCCAGCATCTCTCGCTTCTATGGCTTGTGGGTTTATAAATTTATCTGTGGTTGATTAGGGTTTTTTCCTGTTTGGATTTCGCCCGATTTCTGGTTGTTTCTTCTGGGTATTCTCTAAGCTTTGATTTTTGAAGCTCAGTAGTTCGTGTTTCTAATGGAGTTGGGTTTCTCGTTTGATGTTTGATTCTGGATTTTTCTAGTTCGTGTTTCTAATGGAGTTGGGTTTCTCGTTTGATGTTTGATTCTGGATTTTTCTTACTTTTCAGCTTAGATTTCATTGTGGTTTCTGCGTTTTCGTTCTGGGTTATGTCTGGCTTAGGTTTTTTTTAAAACCGTTTTGCCTCATGTTTCACAGGGATCTCAGTTTCTGTTTTGATGATTCTGGGTCGTTTACTTACTGGCTAGAATAGATTTCATTGCGGTTTCTGCTTTGTTCTTTTCAGGATTTCTGTAAATTAGGTTTTTTTATGCAATAATTTCTCATTTCTCAAACTGATTTCACTTTCTCCGATTGTGGTTTCGGGTATGCTTGAAATGCTTCTTGGGAAATGTAGGGAGGGCTGGTGTTCCGATGGAAGTTATGGGATTGATGCTCGGCGAGTTTGTGGATGAGTACACAGTTCGGGTTGTCGATGTCTTTGCGATGCCTCAGAGTGGTACTGGTGTAAGTGTTGAAGCTGTTGACCATGTCTTTCAGACAAACATGCTTGATATGCTCAAACAAACTGGAAGGTAATTACCTTCGAACTGAGATTTCCCATTGAACTTATCTTGGTTTTGAATTCATTGTTGACAATTTGTGTGACTGAATTATCGAATTATTGCCCTGGCCATTTAATTTTCATGATCTTCGAACTGAATTAGATTTTAGATGGTCATTTGAGCAATTGCACTATCACGGTTTCACTAGTATTATGATTATGTGTTAATGCTAGAGACCGTGTCCTGCTGCAAGCTATTTCTTTCCATGAGGCCTTAGGATTAAGCATTGTAATCAAAATGGGAAACAATAGCTAATCAATCTCAGAATTCAACTCATCTTCTTTGATGAAGTCACATAACTAAAGATGTCTGGCAATTAGGCTCTCTTTTTTGTCCTGTTTTCAGCCCTTTTTTTAAGACTCTGGATCACTAGAAAGATGAAACAGTGGTGTCATCCTAATTATGATCGATGGAACAAACTCTCTGCTCCTCCTCTCCATATGTGATGAAACAGTGGTGTCTTCATATTTTTGTTTAGGTTATACAAGAACTATAAATGCATAATATTATGTGGCTTAGATGTGCAACATTTTCAGACATGAAGCTTATTGACATTTTCATTTTATGCAGTTTTGTTTTATAATCAACTGCGTCTGTCGTCTTTGCAATTCTATTTCGCAAGAGCGTTTACCTTTCTGCAATCTTGTTTATTTTTGCGTTGCAGGCCAGAAATGGTTGTAGGCTGGTACCATTCACATCCTGGCTTTGGCTGTTGGCTTTCTGGTGTTGATATAAACACCCAACAGGTAATTGCAAATTAGTTGCATTTTCTCCTTTCTTACTTAGATACATCTCGCAAATAATACTTCATATTCATCATGTTCTTTTTTTTTCCCATTTTCTTCCATTTGGATGTCTGCTTTGTCACTACTACCCATAATTTGCATTTTGAGAATTTGTTATATGCTTGGCCCCTTTCTTATTCAATAATTCAAACTAGTAAGTGTTTTCTAGTTGTGTTTTGTGATCTGTTTGACAGTCTTGCTTTGTCCTTGTCTCGTGATTTAACAGTCTGCCTGCCGCTTGTGACTTCGGTGCTTACACCGGGAGTTCATATGGTTTCATTGTTCATAGTCATTTGGCAATGATGTTGTTGAATGTTAATGTCTGGCTTTGCTATTGATGATAATATTGCGAAGCTATAATCGTATCTTCTGTCTGTTTGCAGAGTTTTGAAGCTCTGAATCAACGAGCGGTTGCAGTTGTCGTAGACCCAATTCAGAGTGTCAAAGGAAAGGTGGTTATTGATGCATTTCGTCTGATTAATCCGCAGACCATGATGCTTGGCCAAGAGCCGAGACAGACGACATCAAACCTCGGGCATCTTAACAAACCATCGATTCAGGTTTAGAGCTTCTGCCTGGAATTATGCGATACTTTCTGATAGAACGACTTGAAGTTGGACCAATAATTTGGTTGCTTTTGCCAGGCTTTGATTCATGGGTTGAACCGACATTACTACTCGATAGCTATCAACTACAGGAAAAATGAATTGGAGGAGAAGATGCTACTTAACCTTCACAAGAAGAAATGGACTGACGGGTTGACACTCCGTAGGTTTGATACCCACTCCAAAACCAATGAGCAGACCATCCAGGTAATGGTCTTATTCATGTGGCCTACATTTTGTGGGTCTCTCAACTCGCAACTCTTGAAAACCTTCATTTTGGAATGGGGTTTAATCATTGCTTTCGGAGTGGCTGTGTGAGAAACCAGTACTGTAGAGATTATAAAACCCGCAATTTCATGTGATCACTGACTATGGTGCTCGTGGTTAACTTTTCATCGAAACTTGTGCAATTTTGGTTTGGTTTTAGAGTTTCTTATAGGCTCATGTTTTCGGGTTTCAATTGTTACTTGGTATAAGAAATTAGGGACTTTTTCAGTCCGCTGAAGGATTTTCATGTCTTTAAATCACAGGCATAGCGTTTGTGTGAGATAGTCTGCAGACCCTTGTCGGGACTTTGCTTTGCTTTCTGGAGAATACTGAAAGTAATGACGGGACTTTGTTTGTTTCCGCTGTCATGACACTGCAGGAGATGCTGAATCTCGCCATAAAGTACAACAAGGCAGTGCAAGAAGAGGACGAGTTGCCGCCGGAAAAACTGGCGATTGCAAATGTGGGAAGACAGGATGCGAAGAAGCACCTGGAAGAACATGTCTCAAACCTCATGTCCTCAAACATCGTCCAGACTCTCGGGACAATGCTCGATACGGTTGTCTTCTAGAATGTTCTCTCCTGTTATCTCTCTTCTCCTTTAGATACATAGGCGGCGAGAAGAACTCAATTTTCAGTTTTAGCGCCGAATCATTCAGCATGTAACTGCCATTGCATATTGAATCTGCTAGTCCCTATTGGATTTTTTGGTTTCGGACTTTGAAGTTCGCCGGTTTCTGTTTCATGGTTGGTTTGTATCCGAAATTCGGATTCGGGTTTTGTTTAAACAAAAATCGTATAGAATGGGTCTGTCTTTGGTTGGATTTTATTTATATATATACTTCAGGTTGCGTTTTCTTTTGTAAAATTTGGTTTAGGGTTAAGTTCTTTCCGTAGTAAAATATGACTTGGTTTGGTTCATGTGCAATTCATTTAAATTCAATAGTAGAGTTTCTCTTCAAATCAAAAGAATGCCGATTTGTTGGATAATTGACCGTTTACGTGGTGGGTTTTAAATTTATGAACTAATAGCCGCCGGATTCCTAGATATATGAATGTTGTAGAACCAGGATCGATCATCATAGGAATTTAAAAAGGTGTTTTAATTAGGTGTGACTATATATTTAGGCAAAAGAATAGAATTCGTTGATTAGGGTTCGGTTTTGGGATGCAAACAAATACTAATGCGCAGAGGATACGGGTCTCGAGATTTACCCAATCATCGGAAGCATTCAACCATGATCCATGAAGAGATTTCAAGGGAGAAACAAACATTAACTTAGATTCATATCGGGCTCAAAATGTTCTTGGTTAATCCCTCAGCCCATAACTAAATTAACTGCTCGCTCCCAAAAAAAAAACAACAAAACACACAGACGAAGTGTCAACTGTCAAGGACATCTTGTGAAACAATGTCAGGTAGAAGAGAGTTTGAAAAGACAATGCTTTGCATACTCGACCAAACAGAAAAGGCATTCCATTATCTAATATGTAACCCCAGCAACAATGGTCCATCAATTTTCTAAGCGTCAAAAGACACAAGCGTAAGACCAAAACTTCTTCCTACAGTGTCCCAAACAAGCTTGTCTCCGATGAATATCGCCGTGACATGACTGTTCAAGCGGTTACAACACCCGACACCCACGGAACAATCACAGGAGCTTTCGGATGGTTGTTTCTGTATGACTCCGAATATCTGTCCTTGAAGTTCAGCTTCGGCTTCTCTGCCTGCAGTTTTCATCGAAGAACAGTACGAGCTTATAAGCTTCTACTGATTCGGAACATGCACAGGCATGCTCAAAGAGACAGAATGATCGATACGAGGGGAGGGCCTCTTACGTATTTAAGCCAGCATTCCTGATGCTTGTGTTCGTAAATATCAGGAGAATAGCATCCGAACTCAGATGGACAATAAACCCATATGTTGCATCTCAATTCCCCGGGCTTAGCACGCTTTGCATGGTCTAAGCAAGCCTGGCAACATTCGGCCGCACTTTCTTTATGATGGGTTAGTCCCCATCTCACAGCAGCCCCATCATAGTCCGTGTGAAGTTCAGCGTTGCATTGAGCCGGGATTGGTCTACCCGCAAGGACCTCCTCTGCCAAAAAGAAAATGAATAAATTCACGAGTATCAAATACATCCCAACCTTTAATTTTACAAGCTTCATCAAGTTTCTTGATCTGGAAGAAAAGGAAAAGTAGAGCAAGATCTAAATTTTGGACAGTTTGGTAAATACCAGGCTCAGTTTCGCCCTCGGGTTTATCATCGTGTTCTACGTTGAAAACCTCAGCTGGTAACCAAAGACCAATCTCTTCAGACAGCACATCCCACTCAGACTCGAGCGCTCTTGCAAGCATCCCTAGATCATTTGCAGAATGAGATCATAATACGTTTGCTATCTTGAACAATAATTCAGGAACTTATCAAGGACTTTATAGAATCTATCTTAACTCGTTGTAAATATATTTTAAATAAGCCCTCAAGAGCTTTACCTGCTTCTTGTAAGATGGTTGAATTTGTCCCTTCACTTCCCAAGCTCAGCTCTTTGACTTCCTTCAATTTTTCCTGGCGCCAATTTTCTACAGCTTCTGTTCACCATGCAAAGATAAAAAAGACTTTAGGGCCAAAGAGAGAGATGAATTTACCAAAAGAGCCGATGACAAGAACACGTTAATGGCAAGTCATCATTATCACCACATGGGTGCTACAACTGATACTGTATATGCATGTGGCAGAATGGCATCGGGCCATCTGGAACGAAAGCAGGCAACGATAGTATTGGAGAGTGACAACAACAAACATTCACACGTTTGTGGCAGGTAGTATAGAAACTAGTTTCTTTGTGTCATGAAAGCATAGCAAGAGAAAGAGCAAGACAGAAGTTTGCAAAGAAAAACATCTTCCCAATAAAACACAAATGATGTAACTACAGCTTCCTGACATATCTTCTAACACTTTGTAACAGAGTGTATCAACACAAATCAGACAAGTCATACTTCAAATTTCAAATGATTCACAATAATCTAATAGCATCTTGACCGACGCATAATCTTGAGGTATGTCAAACTGGTTAACACTGAACAGAAAGAACGCAGATCATTATGGAAAACATAAAGAACACAACAACTCAGATGTAAGATCGTTCAACATCATGAAAACAATATATTCTATCCAAGTTTGAACTTTGAAGTGAAATATTTTCCTTGCCAGAGTGCTAAAAACACAAAACTGAAAACTTTCTTGAACACAGAAATGCAAGGTGTTCAATGAGATTTTACATATATGAACATATCAGAGACAGAAACATTTGTTGATGAACAAAAATATAATCCAGTGCCTCATGGCGCTAGTGCTATAATAAGGTTCTTTCACAGTCATGAATTCATTTATCCACATGAAGCATCTAGATAATGTACAAATCAGAACAATACATAAGCATAATCACCACTGACATCCTCTGCATCCTAAATTTTCAGTAACCACTCAACCATTTAACTTGAACCGCCTGGTACATGATGTCACATGCATAAAGGTCGGAAGTCGGAACTCTTCATCTTCTTGATGCACACAATATAAACATCCAAATAAAATTAAAGCATTTCTATCAATGATTAAATCACGTCATCTTGCATGGAGGAGTTGAGCACACGAATTTCACAAACGACAGAGACCCTTCTGCACTTGAACCTTTAAATGAAGATGGCACTAAACAGATAGCAAGGGGAAAACTAACACTCATCCACAATCAAAGTAGTCCCAGGCAAGATGCAACATGTGTCCATGTTCAACTAGAAAATGCATTAGACGCAACAAAACCACCAAGCTAAATGCAGCACCAAAATTTATCAAAGAGACAATGATTGGAACTATAAACAGATCCATTGTGGTTTGGAATTACTGCCATTATAATTACAATTGTTCATTGCCAAAACAGAGATCAACATACCTCTCTGTTGGGTAACATTCAATTTCTCGTCTAAGCTCTTCAAACGGTGCAAGATCTGGTCGACTATTCTCTGTTTTACGGGCTGAGATAATTCAATCCTTGGTTCTTCAATGGAGAACTCATGATTCAGCTTCTTCACCTATTTTTCAAAGAGTCGTAATCGGCATCAAAATAATACACGCCGAGAACAATGACACTGTAATTGCCACATTCCAAACTCATGAAGACATACCAATCTAACAAGTTCAATGGGCTCCTTCGATCTACGGATCCGGATAGATTCCTCCATTTTCCTAGTCTCATCCGCTGTATACTTTGCGACTGCAATATCACCAAGCCCCAGAAATTCAGACATAACAATCCAAACCAAAACATAAAAAATCGACAACCTTAACCAGATCGAAAGCGCAATTCGGGCAAAATCATAACCAAATCGAGTACTGACAAGACCCACCCTGCTCATTATTAGAATAGAGGTGAAGAGAAGAAACATAGCGAGAGCGAAGAACATAAAGAGCGACGAGAATGTTGAGAAAGCAAACAAGGAGAGTGATCTTCTTGCGGGAGAAAAACCCGCCTCCGGTAACTCCTCCTCCGTAGCTCCACCGTCCTCCGACCCATTCTCCTCCTCTCGCCATCTCCCTCCGCCTTCATCCCACCATATCCTCTCCGTATTCTCTCTCTGTCTCCTCCAGAAACAAATCCTCTCCTCTCTCTCTCCTGGGTTTTCTCGGATTTTCCCGGAAAATTGCTAAAGACAATCACTTTGCTTGAATCGGACACAATAGGATTCCGTTTCTGGATTTTTCTTGTTGCGTCTGCGGAAAGAGGAAAGGAGGGAAGGGACCGACAAATAGAGAAAGACCCTAAGGACGGACGGTAGCTCAAAATAAATTAAATAATCATGGATTTTTTATTTAAGGAATTTTAAGTGTATTATGAGTTTTTAATTTAATTTAATTGTTTTTAATAAAGTGATTACTATTCTTAATCACGTTGCATTTAACTAAACCAATATGATTAGCTTTTCGTTGGCTCAAGGCGTCGTGCATTAAATGTCATTATATTAGATAGATCAATCACAATCTCATCATTAATATATTAGAAGATAAAAAAAACACCATTTACAAATTTTCTGAATTTTCTATAAATATGTTTTGGGCTACATTCAAACTATAAAAGACTGATAAATAATTTAAAATATTAACCCTGAAATTCGCTAATAAATTATTATAACCTTAGAATTTAGGTAATTCCATTGTTATTATAATTTTTATCATACATGTACGTATTTCCTTTTTGTTTATGTTCGATATCTTACATTTTAAAGATAAAATATTAAATTCTTTAGAAAAACGTCTAGTCATCTTTGCTTTCCGTTTCGTAACTCGATACCTCGTCGCCAAACACCGATTCCGACAAACACAATTTCGAATCACACACAGAAACTAGAACTAGTGTTCTTGTCGGATTCATCGCAATCTAGCATGACTTGTATGTAAATCATGCACACAAAACAGTTGTGGAGTTTATGTCAGTCTCCTAATTTAATTTTCTTATAATTTCCAATAAAAAAATTTCAATTTTCTCCATCGTCGGACATGCTATAAACGGCTACATAACAATTACACACATACATCCGCCCTAGTTAATATTTTTACAAATTATTCATAGTATTACAATAACATCCCTTATTCTAAAAAGGGTCGTAAGAATTTTCGATAAAAATGGGAGAATGAGATACAAAAGATACCCTAAACTGTTTTGGATAATGAAATAAAACATTGATCGACCTATAATTTCTCTTTTGCAAATAAAAAAAATTTGGAGTGGACACTATAACACCCGACCATCGATTTTCATCTGTACAAAAATGGTGTATAAATACTCTTCTAGTTCCGAGTTTCCGGGAGATCGCTTACGCGTTTCTTCTTTGGTACTCATCCGAAGAGTAGATTGCGTTCTTCTACTTTATGTGGTTCAGATAGATGAATCCCGATCACCGATCGCGGCATCTTCTGAAGATTCTGGATCCGAATTCCCGACATGATGTGGCCGTACTGAAGCTGCGTCGGAGGTATGGAACTCGCTCTCGTGTCGAGCTTTGAACGTCCACAACAAGATCAACGGGATCATGAGTATCGACATGCACAAAACCGAGATCCACGCCATCCGGGCATATCTCTTCAAGGGTTTGCAGTGGTTTGCGAGGATTTCCGTGAACGCGTCCTTCACGGACTCGCATTCGACGAGGTTCTGCATGCCCGGATACGCGTTCAGTATCTCCTGGACTGAAGACGTGTAGGCTTCGACTCTTCTGAAATCCTCGTACGATATGAATTCTCCGTCCTTACAGGTTGTGTTTGTTCCGTCTGAACAGGTGAACACTCTCAATATCTGGAGAAAAGGTACAAACATATGCGTTAGGGTTTTCGCTCTTCC